CAATCATGCATGAGGTTCCCTTGCCCTCTAGCATTGAGTGGTCCATGGGTCCTGTAGGGATACACAGCAAAATCATGAGGGACTGGGATAAGGACCAAGAAATTGCAGAAGAAAAAGTTGAATCCTCAGCGCCACCTAGCCTAATGTATGCTGGGCTGCCCCGTCTCGCTTGCTCATCTTCCTCTGTTTTTTTTTTTTTTTTTTTTTTTTTTTTTTTTTTTTTTTTAGCATAATTACTGGAGCTTATGTTTCACAGTTAATGCTGTCAAGCCTTTTAAACTAATTGGTCTTTTATAGAAAATTTAACTGAAAATTAACACATCTTTTAATAACATTGCCTTAACTTTAATGGCACTCCGCCTTTCGTCTATAATTGCACTAAAATTGTCATTTTTCATGTCATATCTGCCATTTTTTATATTTGCTAGTTTTCATGGTGTGGGTTTTTATTTTTAGTATTTTTCTTTCATGAGCAATGAGGACTATTTCAATTATTTTCTCCTGGATCTGCCTTGCCTGGTGCAGCAGCAAGGGGTATGTTCTTGGGTCCAGCACAACATCCCGCTGTTTGCTGCTCAGACACAACACTGCTGCTACTCCATCTGCTTTAGCTGTGGCTGTGGACTGTCTGTCTGCTTGTGAGAAGGAGAAATGAGGGCTCTTGGATGGAGTATAAGAGATGAGTCATGAGCAGTAAATTGCTGGCATCTCCAGAATGGCACTGGATTAACCTAGGCTGAGAGCTCAACCTTCAACATAAGGCTCACCCAGGTTTTGGCCCTTCAGGAAGTTACAGTATAGACAGAAAGGCAGGTGGACCCATGATTCCAGTCTTGGAAACAAACCCTTATTTCTGACACCAAGACCAGCTCTAATGAGCGATGCAAACTGCTGACTCATCTATCTACATAGCTCCTCAGTCTTACATGTTAAAGTATATGTGTATGCATGTGTTCAGGAGAGAGAATAAGTAAGCTGACACATTCATATATACATATATGTGTGCATTTAAATAGCAAATCAATGGCTCTGCTGTCGCTTGTGCCTGCTTGCTGAAAGACCTTCACATCCCTTTGTCCTTATCCAATTGCTACAGAGGCACAAAGAGCTGTTCACATCACACTTAATTAACAGTGGGTCTCAACTGATTCCCAGACAGTGGAGAAAACACAAACAAGGGCCGGTAGTGAATTGGAACTAGAAACGTCAGCTCTCCTTGATGACCCTGTGCCACACTGTCCCAATTACTTCACATGCTTAAAATCGGTTTTTCCTATTTGACATTATTTATCATTTCCCTACAGTTTTTACCTCTAGATTATCCAAGCAGAAAGAAAATTTAAACAGTAGGCGGTCATGGCCCATGGTTCTCTTCTCTAATCTGATTCTGTAATGTGGAGAATGAAGTTTGTCATTTAGTAGGTGTCCAGGAAATGTACTGATTAAGACTATAACTATAATACAGCTTTTGAAAACTTGCCATATGCTAAATACTTCATGGTCACTTTATAAGCATGACCACAGTCTCATATGGACAAGTTATGGGACATGTGTGATTATTATCCCATTTTAAAAATAACAAAAATGAGGCCTAGAGAGATTCAGGGTCCATAACCAGTAAACTAGTGAGCCAGCATCATATCTTCTTATTCCAGGTGTCTAGGTGGAAGTGAAATTGGGATTGGGGTTTGGAAGAAGTGAAACTGGGTGGAAAAAAAGAACAACAAAAATGGAAGACTTTCATACAGCTCTAAAGCAGGCTTCCTTTCATTGTATGTGTTTAGGTGTGTGTGTGTGTGTGTGTGTGTGTGTGTGTGTGCGCGCGCGCGCGCGTGTATGTAGGGGGGCAATCTTGGCTCATTCAGAATACTTCATTTCTCAATTGAACCCTAATTCCTCTTAGAGGCGTACATCTGTAAGAATAATTATTCCTCCCACCATGGGTTTCTGTTGTGGATCTGTTAGCTGAAGCCACAAGACTATCTGGCATAGCCCTAACAACTCCAAAAAGGCCAATAAAGAATCAAAACAGTATTCTTTTAGCAAAGTAGTAAGCCAACAGTTGAGTGATGAGAGACAATATTCAGAGAATGCTGATTCCTTGAATAAGCAGCAACTTGAGGAATAGTACTAGAAAAGGGGGATCACTGACATCCAGAGTGATTTGCATAGGTGTTGTGATGGTGTCTGTAGATGGATGCTGGCATTGACTCTCACCTGTGCTCCTGCTGTTTGGAGGACCCTCATTTTAGTACTTCTAGTTATTGCCTTTGTAATTGACTGATTTGAATTTTTCATAAATAAAGTTTGGGGTGGAATACAAAGAAATCACAGGAAGTACTTTATCAAAAGGTCTGGATCTAATTGGGTCTGTTGCACGAGACCTCAACTGGAGGTTTGTCATCCTAGACAACACAGCAAGTTCTGGAATGATTTGGCTGGGATTTTGATTGATGACTTGAAAAGGCACTGTCAGTAGGCCTGTTAATATGCTTTGTTCCAATGTTTAAATCTGGCTTATTCACACTATGGTCTAAAAGATCAGACTGTATCACTAAAGTGTGTCACACAGTTCCAGGCCCTCAATAACTAATGCTGCTGCTGCTGATGATAAATATGACGGCAGTATTAGAGTCCTGGAACCCTTTACTCTAGACTAGAATGTAGAAGGAAGAAAGACTGCTTTCAGGCTATGGCATTAACATACCCCCAGCCACTTTGGTATCAAAGGAGATTTGGGATGACCCTTGAAAATAGTTACAGAAATCAGTTCATTTTGATTTTTCATCCGAGTTTCTGAGAACCAACTCTCTAGTGATGCTATCAACAGTCAGCCTTGAATCTCATACTCAGATATGCTCTGCCTCTACATTGTCATATGCCCTGCTTCCATGCTGTCAGTCAAGGGCCCCTTTGACTTTGTAGAAGTTTCAATTGCATCACCTGGAATTAGCACTGGCTTCATGGGTGTTTGACCAACACAGGTATACAGCTTCATTATGTCAAAATTCTCGGTAATTTATGAAAACACACACTTTAAAAATGATGTATCTGGCCGGGCATTAATCCCAGCACTTGGGAGGCAGAGGCAGGCAGATCTCTGTGAGTTCGAGGCCAGCCTAGTCTCCAGAGCAAGTGCCAGGATAGGCTCCAAAGCTACACAGAAAAATCCTGTCTCGAAAAACCCAAAAAAAAAAAAAAGTATCTGGTCAAATTTGGAGCACATTGACTGTCTGTGAATAAAATAAATCTTATAAATTTAAGCTTAAAAAAACTTACAGCATTTTGTAGTTTGGGGGTAAAAATCCATAAACAGCTTACTTGTCTTAGTAAGAGCAGAAATCTCTGAAATCTGAGATTTCAGAAATTCTGAAATCTCTGGAATTAGGATCAGAATTAAAGTGACATTTCTAAAGAGACACAATCCAGCCTCCTACAGAGAATCCGGTGCTTTACTAAACATAAGCATGTAGCTTCTATTGTTCTTTCCAGCCTGTTCAAGAGTTTGAATAAACTGATCCAATATTACCAGCAGCTGTAAGGTCAATCACAACACTCCAGAAAACCAGGAGGGCCCCACTACAAGGCCCACACTCTTCTTATTGGCTTGGAAAGCCACCAGTGAACCTTAAGTCAGATGAATACTATTCCATAATTATCTTTAAAACCATAGTTCTGATATTTCTCTAAGATATGCTTATATTTGCACCACATTCAGTAAAACAGAATAACCTAAATTTGTCTCTAAAAGTTCCATGGCTTCATCTTTCCTCACACTGTAATCCTTCTGGGATTAGCTTTAATGAATATATGATAACAATCTATAATTAGCATATCAGTTGTTTAACATAGTCAAGAGAACAACCTTCTTAAGCAGTGTGAGAAATGTATGTATGGAGAAGCACCTTCTAAGTTGTGTTTACAGTTTAATGTGCTCAATAAACTCTGTTCCATGGGTTCTACAAAGGTCAGCTTTTATCCAGCCCACACCTCCACTTTCACAAATTGTGAATCTGTCTATTGCAAAATGAAGTGCATCTTCTATAAATAAAGATATCATTGGGAAAGGTTTACAGTACCTGCTGTGGCCCAATCTAAATGGCTGCTGTTATCTATTGTAGTGAGTGATGGTGCCACTATGCTGGAATCTACTCTCTTAATTGTTACTTATTTGGGGAGGGTCACAAAAAACGGAAAAACAAATGGCCTGACCATTTAATACACATCAAGTTACTAAACAAAAGCTAGCTGCTTTTGATGTCTCAGTCAGTAACTCCTTTCCTTTACCATCCATCATTGTCCCTGCCCTTCAGCAGAGAAGAGTCCCATGCCTGATCCTCACCCAAGGCCTATTCTTTTAGTGACAGCAAGGACTATGGTGTCACCCTTGGCACACTGTCCTTTCTTTTGTTCACATTTGGGTTATTGGCAAATGTTTCCAATTTCACCAATGAATACTCACCCTGCCACCCACCCTGCCTTCCCTGCATCACTATCTCCCTCCAGCTAGACAAGATGCTTCTGAAGACATCACCCCCAACCTTTCTAGTCTGAGCCATATCCACCTAGCAGATAAGGCAACTGCTTTCAGACCTGAACCTGACCGTATCACTCTTCCCCATTAAGTCCAAAGACTCCAACCATGGAGATGGTTTTCAATGTCTTCCCTGTCCCTTTCCTCATTGTGGTTCAGCTTCCTTTGTCTTCCTTGAGAGAGCATCACGTCTTGGTATGAAATATTTATTTCCTTAAGGACTGCTTCTCTTATCCTGCAAACCAGGTCATAGCTTTCCCTATCTTCCCTATACTTTGAGGAATTTATAATCAATATTTACTTGAGTAATTGATAAATATTGGTATCCTGTCTAGAGAGCAAAGTTCATGAACCTCTATGCTTTTCCATGCACAGCTCAAACTCCTGCCAATGCCCCGTACTTTGGAGATATTACATGGCAGTGTATTCCACCACTTGAGTAGGAGGAAGAAGTTAGACAACTCACCGCACTCATGAGTGAGTCCAGGACGCTGACGGCAAATGCTGTCCCACAAGCAAAGGGCTGCGTGAGGTACAGCTCTGTGTCAGGGTCATCGTCATCGTCTTGGTCCAAAAACTGAACATTAGTATCGTTCACTAGAAAAGGCATAAAATAAGAATTAGCACTGAACGCTATATATGCATTAGTGAAGCCAGAGAGATACTAACTGATTGGCTTAGAGACACTGAAGTTACTACAAAAGAAACAAGCATGGTGAAGCTGCTGGATCTTGAGGTTGGCGAGCAGTGGAACTTAATGGTCAGCTTCTACAGGACTGTTTCAACTTCTGAGACCCAGAGAGCAATGAGGTCAAGCAGGCTTGATCCATGGCAACTGCTAAGGACTGGCAAATTGATGACATTGACCAGTCCTTGTTACAGTTTTAGAATCATGACCAAGAAACACCCTAGGGCATTTTTTGGTAGCCAAGTCCTTTGAGAGATGGACATAATTCAATGATGAATAGCCATGCTGGAATGGTAAAGTTAGTTAGCCACAAAGAAAAGAAAGCAACTTATTCAGAAGGAAAAGCAATGGACCAGAAACATGGCAAAGGCAAATGGCAAGGAATTTACCCTCAGGAAGGAACCATAGATAGCCCCAAGGATGGACCTGGGTAGTACCTGGTGTGCCTCACCTCTGAAGCTAGGCCCATACCCAATATTCCTGAACACTCAGGAATGGCTCCCAGCTACTTCTGGCTGTTATGCAACTTTCTCTGCAAGGCTCCACAAACTGTTTCCCCTTCTGAACAGCTCTGTTGTCCCTGTGTTCCAGAAGACATGGCCAGGCCAAGATGCCTTCCTTCACTGTCATATGAGCAGCCCCTAAGGACTCCTCCTACTGCGTGCACCCACAGACTGATGAGTTGTGTCCTTCAGATGTCTTTAAGTTATAAAAAATTAACTGAGAAATGAGCTTCTATTCCTACTTTGGCCTCAGAAATGATCAATTTTGCAGAGCGAATAATAGGGGGAACTGTGGGAAGTTGGGGAGAGGCTTACTTGTGATTTCTGGAATAATTAAGGTGGTTTTAGGGAGAGAACAGATGAGGTTTCCTAGCTCTGATGCCTTTCTGAAACTATCTGCAGCTAATTTTCTTTCTTAGAGTTATTGTTTTAATATTTTAAAGGAAATTTCTTGACAACTTTCCTTTAAAAAAAACCAAACAAACCACAAAACCTTGTTTGTTGCATGAATCAGAATAAATGATAACGAGATAAAAGGCTAGGCGTGGGATTATTTTTAAATGACACCATCTTCCTCCTTCCTCCAGAGAATAACTCTAATGGAGGGAAATTTTTGCTGTGATAATTCCAAATTTGATCACATTTGGGTCCCAGTTGTCCCAGTGGCAAATGAATTGCAGGATAGTGGGTAAAAGTCTTAAGTATGGTTTTGTCACTAACTTCTTTGGCAAGGTATTTCATGATCCCACAGCTAAGCTGATCTCACTGTGAAATGGGGAAATTATGCAGTCTCTGGGAGGTAGCTCAGAGACCCCTAGGAGACCAGACTTGGTGAGTTTGGTCCAGGACCCAGGGCATGCTATGCACTGGATAAATGGAGGCTGATACATAACTGTCTATCTGTTACATTATGGAAATGTCCAGCCTCTCTCTGCTCCTCTTAGAAACACTAAAAGTTTACTTATGCATCTCCAAATGGTTCTGTTAAACTGAATTATGATAGGCCCTAAGCTGCCTCCATAACTATTTCATGTTTGACTAAAAATGTCTCACTATGTCCTGAACTGTAGCCTTATTCCATCTAGAAATTGTATAACCTACTCTTGTAATAAGTACCTGGGGCTCGGCCAATCACAAGTGGCCAAGTGTTCAAACTACACACACACACACACACACACACACACACACACACACACACACCCTGCTCTCATAGTGGGCCAAATGTGAGGAACCATTTTGGTTTGGGCCCCTGACTTACTCTGGAATTATAGATAAAGTGGATTGAGCTTTCTAAAGCAGGCACTGGAGAGATGACTCGGTGACCAAGAGCACTTGCTCTTCTTGTAGAGGACTTGTATCAGCTTCCTGACACCCACAACTTGGCCCACTTGTAACAGCTCCATGAATGGAACCCAACACTCTTCTGTCCACTGCATGCACATGAGATACATGTATTTATGCAGGCAAACACTCATATATTTGCAAGAGAAATAGCTATTTATTTTTTAAGATTTTAAAATCCATGTTATTAAAGTTTGCCCTATTGTTTTCCATTGTCTCGCCTCTTCTCTCTCTCTCTCTCTCTCTCTCTCTCTCTCTCTCTCTCTCTCGACAGTGTCTCATATATCCTAGGATGGCTTCAAATTCAATATGTAGTGGTAGTTTAGAGTGAACTTCTGAACCTTCTCTAGCTTTGCAGCGTAGGGATTATGAGTGTGGGCCAACACATCCAATTGATGAAGTTCTGGGGATTGAATCCAGGGCTTTGTTAATGTTAAGCATGCACTCTACCAGCTCAGCTGAATCCTGGGTCTATGATTTTCTCTTTTGATATTCAAAAAGTATGTTGTGAGGGTCACAGTATTTCTGCTCTAGGAAAGTGTAAGCTAAGAGCGCATACACATTAGAATATGGTCTTATTTATTCACAACATTCGCTAATGGTGTTTGCATCATCATTCCTATTGGAGCAATATCCCTTCCCTCTTTACAAGGAGATGAGGAAGAAATAGTGCTACGTTATTAGTGTGGTCCCAAGTAGGAGAAACAACTCTAACTTGAGTGATCTAGGCTATTGGAAGGTGTCAAGGCAAGAGCAAGTTTCTGTGAAAAGCTTGCCTGTTGTTCTGGGATGCCCAGTCTTGGGAGTCCCCCTATGCCTATTTCCCAGAATAGCAACTGCATGGGTAATAAGAGGTGACAAAGACATTGGCCCACAATGCATGTGATCAAACACAATTGGGAAATAGTGAGTTAAGCAGCTACAAACAAACTTCATGGAAACTTCAGGGGCCTTTGTTATGGGAGTCTCAGGACAGCTGAGGACAGGAATGTATTAGACTCTTAAAGAGTGTTTGGCCTTGGTTGCCTCTGTGCCTTTGTGTATGTTCTTGTATGTATGTGTTCATATATGTGTGTGTTCATGTAAAGGAGCATGTGAAAGGTAGAGGTCAGCATCAGTTGTACTCCTCATTTTCTATATTACTTTTTGAGACAGAGTTTCTCAGCTGAACCTGGAGCTCACCAATTCAGCTGCATTACCTGGCCAGCAAGCCTTAGGGATCCTTCCATCTCTGTCCCCAAGGGTGGGAATCACAAGATGTACATTGCCATGCTCTGCTTGGATGTACATGCTGGGGATCCGCGCTCAGGTCCTTGTGATTGCACAGCAAGCACTACCTCATGCCCATCTCTCCAGCCCTGTTCGCTGCATATTTTAAGGGGAATATGGCTGGAGCAATATAACACAGCACACATTCAGGGCAGGTGACAAATGGTGAATATTTGTAGGGGTGAAGTCGGAGGAGTGGTATAAGGATAGTGGTGTGGCTACTAGAGAAACTAGCCTTCAGAGAAGAAAGAAGAAGTGGCCTGAACTCTAAACATGGGGAAGCGGGGAGGAGATCTGGCGTGGGAGAGTGTCAGGGAACTTGCTAACCAAACTGCTGCACTGTATCTGAAGCACCAAGCTTTTTGCTTTCCTTTTATACTAATCAAAACCGGGAGGCTCTAGTTGGTTAATAGTACATGGGTTCCAAATGTATAAGAAAGTCTTGGTGTGGGTGGTTTTGGAAAGCTGCTGTAGGTATCTGTCCTGGAGATGTTGATGAATTTCCCAAACTGTAGTCTGGGGCACATGAACTTCTTTGGTCTTTTATGGTCCTATGGTTCTAAGAAAAGCAATGGAGAAACCTAGGCTTTTAGCCAACAATGCTAAACATAAAAAAGACACCTCTCCTACTGTTGGAAACAGAAAATAGTGTGATACTCCTTGACCTGAGTGAATTTGTTCTGATAAATAGCTCTGTCTAACAACCACGCAGGGCTGCATGGTGGACAATTTATTCCTTCGTTTCCAGACACCTCACAAGCAAGATTACTGGGTTAAAAGCCTCCTCTCTTATTTTGAAATATATTTGGGGGCCAAGAAAATGGACTGTTCAATTCATCTGTGAGTCATGGGAAGGCAGGTGCTCCCTACCCCTCCTCCTATGTCTCTGCCAAGAAGCCCTTTGCTATGTCTATTTAGAAGATGAATCTCCAGTGCTGAGACCTGCTGCTGATGGGAGCCCTTCGTGGGTTATTAACCAAGTCATGGGGAACCATGGAAAGGCCTGACAAATGCAGGCATGACCAGGGGCCTTCATCTTCCAGATAAATCCACTGTGAATCTCCCAGAGAGGGCTTTGGACCAGCAGGGTGGGGGTCAGAGTGTAGGGCCGCCAGCCTGTTCTGCACCCTTCTTGGCTTTAGTAAGGAAAAATCCCCTGGGAACCAGCTGCTTTTTATGGCTTCAGAAGCAGAACTTCTGAGAAAGGGCCTAGTAGGGGGAGAGAAAAGGCAAATAAAGTCAGAATAAAGAAAAATAAACAGCTGGAGGGAAGGCACTGTCTAGGATTTCTTATCTTAAAATTTTTATATTTTTCCTTTGACTTCCTCTGAGAACTGTGAAGACATGTCAGTCAAACTGACAGCATGTTGGAAAGGAATATAGGGAGGAGGCGGGGGAGAGGGGCACATGTGGGATTTAAAAGAGAGGGAGAGAGAGGCTTGGGCAGCAGAAAATGAATTAGAGCAGAGATGCTTTGGAAGCTACTGCCAGGTCAGATGGGTGTGATCAAAGGTTTACTGATGCTGTGTGGGGAAAAAAATCATTAAGAAAAGGCCAGAACAAGACAGTCAATTCCAACCAGAGCCACAAATAAAACGCATTCAAAGCAGTGCCATGGGGTAGCCTTTCTGTTACAGCCAGTGAAATGAAGGGGGGAAAAGCCAATGAGAGTTGGAAGCACCAAGATCAGAACAAAAGAAAATACTGATGTCAAGTAGACAAGCACTTCTTACCCAACTCCGTTATCATTAGAATGTGGGTCCCACTGTTTTTTTCCTGATTGACTGATACCAAAGGCAACTTGCCCGGTTTAGCTAATTGGATACAGCATTTAAGGGTCAGGGAAAGGGAGTGGAAGAAAGTACAGAAAAAAAAAAAAGAAAGTGAGGGAACAATAGGGGACATATTCTCAAGCTAGCCACCTGGACAAGAGAAAGTCTATACTGGGAGGGAGAAGAGCCATTCAGTAGTTTTATAACTTTACATGGGGTACCAGAGAATGGCATGGTCAGAAGTTGGGTTTTATTGCTACCGATTATAGCATTCAAACCCTGTGCCCTTCATCCATATTTTGGCCATTTTTTTGAAAATGACCTTTGGTGAGAATTTCAAATAGGGTAGGATCAAGTGGGATTGGCCACAGAGGGAAGCAAACAAACATTTGACCCAGTTCTCACTGGGGATCTGTTCTGGGATAGGATTGGCTTAGTCCCAAGGTTCTGAGCATGGTTTCAACTGTAAAAGCCTTTGAAACAGAACACTCAGAAGAGGCACCTTCAGGAAGAAGCCACCAGAAGAACTCTGCCTCCTTTCTTCCTCCTTCCCAAATGGATACCCCAATGTCAAGGCCATTCTCATGCTCCTTTGAAAACAGTAGCCAGAAGAAAGGAAACTGTCTATTTCTCTCCTGGGAAAGATAGAACAGTTTGTCCTTCAAATGATCTGCCATATCGCTACTCATACTTCACCTCTGCTACTCCACCCCAAACCTATGATGCCCAAAGGACTAAAGGACAGGCCAACCTCCTCCTCTTCTCCATGGTCTGAAAGACAAAAGCACCCACCCCCTGAGCTGACAATAATCCCCTACCGAGTTCTGTGATGATGGGGATGTTGACCCCAGTTGTGATGGATGGCTGGCGTAACATCCCATGCACTGGGCTGTTGTCTGGAGATGATCTGTCCATTCCAGGAGGTGTGAATCCTAGTGGGGAGAAATAAAGAGAAGTAGAAAAAGTACAGTATACATAGAGAACCCTCAAAATGCGGTGTACACATTATTGACAGGTCACCAATTAATTCAGGATAATTTCTGAGTTGTGCTTTGTTTTTTGTTTTTTGTTTTTTGTTTTTTCAGGACATTACAGGAAACACTTGAAGCAATTCTAATTTACTCTAACACCTTCCTAAAAATCTAGACCATATCAGTATATCTCCTATATAGTTCTCCTGTCATACTGAATAGTTACAACTGCATCTAGTTGCCCTTAGGAAGGAGTATGTGACATACAAAATGCTCTTGCTCATGAAAATGGAGCAAAGAAACACACATCACTTCTGGTACAAGGTTTTGTCTTGTCCTTCTCTTCTCAATTCACATTTAATATAGAGACATGGGTCACTATGGAGATGGAGTCCGGATAGCAGTCTCAGACAGCTCCTCTATAAAATGTTCTAAGTGAAAAACAATGACGGGCTCTTCCAAACCACTGAAATGTTTTGCTTGTTGTTACCTAAAACATTTTGGCCATTTTTTTGAAAATGACCTTTGGTGAGAATTTCAAATAGGGTAGGATCACGGTGGATTGGCCACATAGGGAAGCAAACAAACATTTGACCCAGTTCTCACTGGGGATCTGTTCTGGGATAGGATTGGCCTATCTGAATTCATTCTGACTATTCTGTTCAGCCAACTGATTACATTTCCTTCTGCTCCTGAGGAGCTTAGGCCTGGTGAGATGTGAGGGTAAATCTGCTTGGAGGCCTTCAGCAATTATTCTTGACCTTAAAAAGAAATGCATGGGGAGATATCTTGTTTGATTCCCCCCAGATGTTGTATCTTGTGTCTGCAGTTAATAGAACTAGCCTTGCATTCCTGAGGTAACTAACCTGGCACTATTAAGAAAGTATAAGATTTATGAAAAGGGTAAGATATGTAATGTCAAGTTTAGTAAGGGTAAGATTTCCTTCCAGCCAATGCCAATGAGTACCTTGGTAAGGATGCAGGCAAATACACATGGAGATGAGAAAGCTCTTTGAATTGTGCCTGCATTGGTTAGAAATTCATTTTCCAAGTGAGCACATAGCAATTGGAGCTGTCAGCTCTGTGTTACAATTTGCTTTGGTTTCTTTTAATTTTCACTTTATTTAATTTTTAAAAAACAGCTTTGTAAATAAGGTCTTTATTACATAGCATGGTTAGTCTGAACTCACTCTGTAGACCTAGCTGCCCTTGAACTCACAAAGATCTTCCTGCCTCTGCATACTGAGTGCTGGGATTAAAAAGTAGATGTCAGTATGCCTGATTCTTTGGTTTCTCATCTCTGTATGGCCTTAGCAATAAATTAGGTATTTAAAGGTACAAAGATACTTGCTTGGGTTCCAAATCAAAACCTCTAATTGATCATAGGACCACATTTTACAGTCAATACTTAATAATGGGACAAGGCTGGGCTGATTCTGGCGTTTGGGAAATGTCTGATGCTCAGTAATTGCCTATCCTGTGGGAGGTTCACAAGCACAAAATGCAAAAGACTTTGAAGCAGGCTTTCTCATTTTCTGCTCTCCTTTATGTAAATATCCTATCAAGTGTTATGCTTTCAGGAAGACAAAAAGCATCCATTCCCTGATTGCACTTTTTTTTGTAGTATTATGACACCTCAAACAGACCAAGTTACATTCAATGAGTTAGTGAGCATTCTTCCTAAACTTGGAATGTGTCTCTTTTAAAGCCACCTGCATAACCAGGAGCGTGCATTTTAAATGTTAGCTTTTTTCTTCCCTTCGAACAGTAAAGGGGTAGAAATAAACTGTTTTCATCAGAAGTTGCATTCAAACGCATGAAAAATTGCAAGTGACAGCTGTGCAGATTCAGTGGATGTGACGTTTTTGACTTTCTTCAACTTGACAAGTGAACACCTTACATCGGTAATGCTATATGCATAATACATGGCCTGTATTTTGACATGCATCTTCAGACGCTGACTAGAGAAAATATGGGTGTGTTCCTCAAGGAGTAGCACCCATAAAGCAGGCAGAGATACAGGTCACACGATGTTAGGAAAGCTATATTTCATTGCAGAGACTTCGACAAGCCAAAGCATCCTTTTATTTTATCTTGTTTAAGGATTCCATTTTCAGCTGTGAAAAGACTCAATCCCTTTGCATGAAACCTTCATTAAGAAATGGCATGCCTGCTTCCTAGGCCTCTTTCACCTTGCTTTCATATTCCATTTTCCCCTAAAGACTTCAAGGGCGGTTCTATCAGCATATGCAACTGACAAACTGATGGGCAGCTCGATACCCTTCCAGTGAAGGTCTGCCTCCCCTTCATCTGTAACCCCAAGAAGAGGGCATTAATGTTAACATGAAAACTTCAGAAATATCACACCTCTTTCTACTTTGCAACTCTTCTGCTCTCACACTGTAGGTGGAGGTGGGGGCAAAATCAACAGAAGTGTATATTTTCTCCTTTCCTCTCGTATAGTTGTAGTAATGACTCAGACTTGATTAGCACTGGTTTCCCCCTTAGGGACCCAACTATAGGAAAACTATGTTCTGAAGTCCCAGGGTTTTGCAGACTTTCTAAATGACCTTGAAGAGAAGAGAAATCCAGGTGTATTCCATCTGAAGGAATTAGGTATGAAGATGACCTTAGATGTCATCATTCCAATTATGATTGACAAAACAGTTCTTAACAACATTCTGCTCTCCACCCCTTTAATTGTGGGCATCACTTTATATCTCTACATAAAACAACACTGGTTTATGTTTGTGCAAACCAGAACATGTGGCATATACCCCAGGGATGTGCAGCCAGAGACCAGAAAGAAATAATTAAGAATGTCAGTGTGGGGGCTGGAGAGATGGCTCAGAGGTTAAGAGCACTGGATACTCTTCCAGAGGTCCTGAGTTCAATTCCCAGAAACCACATGGTGGCTCACAACCATCTGTTATGAGATCTGGTGCCCTCTTCTGGTGTTCAGATATACATGGAAGCAGAATGTTATATACATAATAAATAAATAAAAATTAAAAAAAGAATATCAGTGTGAGAGAGCTAGACTAAGAAACTTCACTCAGATAAGGTTCAAGTTGGATTTGTAGATTGTCTAATTTAATTAAAAATTAAAAAAAAAGAATATCAGTGTGAGAGAGCTAGACTAAGAAACCACACTCAGATAAAGTTCAAGTTGGATTTGTAGATTGTCTAAGTTCTTGCTTAGGTTCTTAATTCTTTAATATGTGAACACCAACACTATACTCCATGAAATTAGATATGATTTCCCCAGACTACCTCCTCTCCTTCCAGGGAAGCCCCACCCCACTCCCAATCCCTGTAGAGGCCCACAAAAATGGTTCTACTCCATCTTGACTTAAGGTCAGAGAGTTCAAGTCCCCCTTGCTCCTTCAAGGTTAAACAGGATATTTAGTCTAAGATATGATCATTGGATGTCTTGCAACACAATACTTAGTTCAGGGTGTAGTTACTTGATGTTTCAGGTATTGAAGAGGTAATTACGACTGCTTGTTCTTTGTAACATTGATAAGGAAGTCTTTTGCCTTTTCCCCCTTTTGATTGTAGTATGTAAGAACTTTGAACAATAAACTTGGGCAGATCACAGCATTCACTGGATGCTCTCCTGACTCTTGTCTTTAGCCTGTTTCTTTCTTCAAGCCACATTTCCCTTCTCAGGCATAAACCAGACTAGTCCTCTAGACTGGATACTGTCTGTTCCTCCACAAGTGTCCACTAAGCCTTAGGGTGACAATATACATGACGTGGGTTGGCTTTGTAGATATAAGCACAGCACAGCCAATATTCTCTCCATGCCTCTGATTCTTCATCTAAAAGTCAGAAGTATTCCTTACACAGGGAATCTGGAAGACTAAAGCGAAATGTGTCATACCTAGGATGAAACAAACCCTCAAAAATGCTGCCTACCAATGACAATATTATACTAGATATACAACAGATGCTTGTGGAGCGGTCTGGCATCCATTAAGAACCTTTCCTATGGGTAAAGAACTGAAAAGCATTTGACAGACTTTTCTAAAGAAGAACTTGTCATAGAATAATAATGAGAAGCCAAGAATCATAGTGAATATTTTTGTTATAAATAGATTAGTCCTACAATAATGATAATAATAACAACAACAATAAATAATAATAATATGACAGCTGGAAACATCTCAGGAAGGAATCTGGATATTGGGAAGTCTGAGGTTTTCTTCAGATTTATAAGAAACTGATGGCCCAGCCTTCACACAGTAAAGGCTATTAATTCCAAATACCAACTGCAGACCCTTTCTAGAACCTTCTCTTTTCTAGACCTAATCTCTGGCCCCTTCAATTAGTTAGAAGTCATTTGCTCCTTGGGCTCCTGAACCTGTCTTTACCACTCTATTTTATTCTGGCAACTGTGTTCTGGACACATTATCGCTGCTGGACTGAACAAACAGAATCAGCCACAGTCGACCTTCTCTGGATATTAGTTGTTTCATTGGCTGAACGAGGGAGGTCTCAGCCAAAGAGAAGCGAGGTAGGTAAAGCATCAGTTAGTGAAAAGTTCAGTGCATTGACTTTAATGAGGGTGTCTTGGAATGAAAGAATTTGACACAAGGACTTTGATGGTTCCTGCCAAGAGCTGGAAGAAACAACAAGAAAAAGTGACATCAAGGTTTTCACTTATTAAAAGGTTATTTACTGCCACACCTAAGGGTCAGAGGACATGGTGGAAGAGTGGGTGGAAAGACTGTAAGAGCCAGACGACCAGGGAGTTTGCTGTGAGACTGTGTCTCCTAGTGGTGTCAGAAGTTACATCATGAAGTTTTACCAACATGTTTGTCCAAATGTGAGCTGAACAAGGATGACACCAATGGACATGGCAAACTTTATGGAGTCAAGCCTATGAGGACTCAACCCTATGGAAGTAACCATAGGCAACTGAAGAAAAATGGAAATGTAAGAGGCGGCCCTCTCCA